GCATGAAAAAAGGATGAACCATGAGGAATTCTCCACTCTATGAATTCATAGCGCTCTTGGGATGGGCATGTGTCTTGCAGTAGGTCAAAGTGAAAGAATAAATAAGCACGAGGAGATGCTAGGCTGATCAAAAGAAGAAGGATTAGCGAGAAGTATATCTAACTTTATTCTCCAATTGCAATTGACTGATTATAGATTTTCTATATTCTTTTTCTATTTTCCTAGCGAACTAGCAGCTCCCCCGCCCTACACAGGATTGGATACTGAACCTGATCAGATAGACCGATCGGTGCGTAAGATGATAGTGACGCACTAGGTTTGATCTCGCTACCTACTATGTATACTGTTATAGCTGTTCTTCTACCCCTATCTACTGAGGATATTGGAGCACTAACCCGCAACTTTCATCTACGCTAACAGCTCTCTTCTCTTAATCCGCCTTCGATTATTCATTAGCGCTCCGCCGGGTCCTCCTGCTACTCAAACAGCTTTCTTTAGGAAATGCCGACATCTACTACTAATGGATTGACATTCCAGAACAGGAAGTCATTTGAATGCCCGAAGTCTGCATCTTCTATTACATCGCCGAAAGAGTGAAAAGTCCCTTCTTGCCTGATGAGTTCTTCTTTCTTTTCTTGCTCCTCACAGTCAAGATCCCGCAAATTCTGACTGACTTGAAATTAATAGTCGTTTTATCTGATGATATGAGATGACGAGCGTCAGACAGAGAAAGAGAAAAAAAGTCTAGTCAAGAAGCTTAACGGTGAAGCTTTACATCAAAAAGTAACGAAAAAAGACGGGTTTGAGCAACTTTTTCATACAGTTTTGCCCTCTGATATAGAATCGATTTTCTTTTCTGATCGCTAGCCTGCCGGGCCGCCCCCGCGATCAAACTATCAATCTCATAAGAGAAGAAATCTCTATGCCCCCTTTTTCTTGGTTTTCTCCCATGCTTTTGTTGGTCAACAATCAAACCAACCACTAATTCTTCCTTCACTACTAATACAGGAAGAAGTCTTGTCTTCTTCTGTTCGGAATCCATTTTTTTTTATCAAAAGAAAGACTCAAAAATAATATAAATAATAATATATAGAATATAGAAAGAATTGCTTAAATAACTCAGCGATCTAAAATCATAGTCACGATCTACTAAAAGTCAAGTTGAGCACCCGGACCAGAGGTGGCCGAGAATCTTATGTCAAAAGGACTAACGACGATGAAAGAGGAGAAGGAGGAGTAGGAGGAGTCAGACGGAATCAAATGATTACGAGATAGACAATGAGACCAGGGAGAGCAAGAGCACTTAGACAATTCACTTTGAGTACAGGAAAGTCTGCTGGTAGGAATTCCTCAGGGCGTATTACGGTTTTTCACCGAGGGGGTGGCTCGAAGCGATTGCTGCGAAGAATTGATCTGAAACGAAGCACTTCCTCTATGGGCATTGTAGAGAGTATAGAATATGACCCTAATCGTTCTTCTCAGATCGCTCCAGTACGATGGATCAAGGGGGGCTGCCAGAAAAAAATGAACACGATCGAGGAGTTAGCTCCGCCGCGCAAGATCCTCGAACCTACCACGAACACCATCAGCGGCCTCTTTTCGTTCTCTTTCCTGCCCGGGAAGGTGGATCAAAGAAAGGTAGCTTGCTTCTCTCCTGGACTGATGGCCGCTTATGTAGTGGTCGGCCTTCCTACCGGAATGCCTCCTTTGTCTTCGTATAAGAGCGCCTTTGCTAGTAAGGGCGCAGGAAGCACAAAAACTTTAGTGAAGGACGTCTTCTTCTCTGCCTTCTCCTCTCCAAAGGCCAAGAGAGAGACTGCATCCCTTGCCTTCGCTAGCTCTTTTGGTTTCCCAAGGATAGCGGTAGCTGGGGTTCCTACCGCTTTCTTCGCTCCGCGAATGAGACAGAAAGTGAGAGGAAAAAGCACGTTCTCTCTTTGCGAGGTCCGAAAGTGGAGAACGCATAGCATTCTCTGGGCACATAGGATCAAAGGTAAAGCAGGGCTTTCTTGGCAGAGTTTTAGGCGGCAAGATACTTTAGGGCTTGTTGGAGCTGCTGGGCATAACAAATCGAAGCCGAAGACGGATCAAGGTAGCTTGCCTGCCAAGCCGATAGGCGAAAGGGCGAAGCAACTCAAAGCTCTCCGGGGTTTGAGGGCGAAGGATGGAGCGTGCAAAGTCGATCGTGCACCTGTCGTGTGACCCGTTGGTCCTAAGCAATGTCTTGCGCGAAGCGACCCACCTAGAAAGAGCTCTCCTTTATCTGGGGGCACTAATAAAATGAAACTTCGATCAGATGCGGGTATCAAATCCCGCCGCTGAGATGTCCAGCGGATTCCTGGGCTTTGATGAAAGGCCGGCCACCTTTTTTTACGGAGAGCAAAAGGCCCGGGGCATAGCAGGATGAACCAATGTGAATGAGTGTAAGCTTCGTTGCCCGAACACGATTGGTGCTGACCACACTAGGTGCTACCGCGGTAGCAAGAGAGGCCAGGCAATGACAATTGAGAGGTTGTCACTGAACATTTCTAGTCACACGGGAAGAGAGGTCCAATGGCAAGGCCATACGCCCGTTTGGCTCCTCGCGGAGTATAGCTCACATCCAAATATCATATCTGATTGGGGAACGGGGCAACACCCATGAAGCTCCGGCGGAAAGGGAAGGCCTGCCAGGCCGTATGCCCATGGGTGCAGGATTCTTCGAAAAAGCGCGGGCTGACTCGGAGACCTGGGACCTTGGCTTAGCAACGAATGAATATTTCTCCTCGAGCTTTCTCTGCCAGCGGCTTATGTAGTGATCGGCCAGCTCGCTAAGCTTCGCTTCGGAGGAACCTAGCTTCTTCAGCGAAGCTGGAGGAACGGAGTTGGCTTCTCNTTTGGGACCAATCCCAAATGGGCCCAGGCCTAGGCCCGCAAGGGACCGGTCCCTTGCCCAGCTGTTTATCTTTATAGAGATGCTGCTGGCCCGTTTGAAAATTAATTCAAATCAAACAACATTTTTTTGTCTAAAAATGAAAAGATAGGGGACTTATTTTTAGATTATTCAACTCAAAACATTTTTTCTATCCAACTATATTCAACTCAAAATATTTTTGTTCCTTGTATATTTTTTTCTCTCTCCATCGCATTTTTCTCTCATTCCAATCTGAAAATTAATCCACCTAAGACCACTGTCACCAGCCAACGTGGTCGAAACAACGCATAATTGGCTAGATCTGGTCGTCGTGCACTAGTCAAGTTGTTTCTGGCCAGATGTATCAGGCTATCTAGTCGTCATTGACGACTAGGTCTCTAGCCGTAGATCAGTCGTCTTATGGATCTGGCTGGAACCAGCCATATTGACACACGACCGACCATATCTAGCCTATCGTATGTTGTAGATTTTTGTAAGTGTATGAAATCGTGCAAGTAATAAAGTGTAAAATTACGGATATCGAACCCAAGGGAATTACTATTATCAATTGTCAATTAAACTATTCTATTACTATTTGATCAATCCAAACTGTATCAAGGAAAATCTAAACTAAATTAACAATTGAATTTAAAAAGAGAACTGAACATAGAACAATTAAAATAAATCTTTGGGTTAAAACAAGGTGACTAGACCTAGGGCATAGACTTCACACCAACTCTTACTCATATGTATCGATCACTTATGCTAATTTTATTAAGCTCTTCCTACAAGTCAAACTCCCTAAATTTCCAATAAATTTCTCTCGAACAATTATCAAATTAACTTCTAATTACCAACTCGAATTATCTCTAATCAGATTTAAGCAATTGAAGATCATTATACTCTATGGAGTTTACTAGAACCTCATAAGTCGCGGTAACCTATCTATAGCGTTTGCTCAACTATGGTTTTACTACTGTAGACCAACTAAGTATCATCTCTCGATCTCAACCTAGTCCATTAGTTCATTTAATTCTTGGGCCCTTAAGAATCAAAAGCATTAGGTATACTAGTAAAACTTATGAAGAACTCTTAATAAAAATTAACGAGCATAAATCAACACATAATCAAGAGATTGGGCTACATCTTAGCCCTAGAGAATAAATTTAGTTCATAATAAACATGAAAGAAACAATCATCTTTATTAAAACAATCATCATGAGTTTATAAAAAATGAACAAGAAAAACTTCTCTATATTATAAATCAAAGCTCTAGAACTTCTGTTACTTTTCTTCTCTATAGGTTTTCCTCCTCTTATTCTCCCCCAAAAAAATCCCTAAAATAATGCTAAAAGACTCCTATTTATGTCCCACAAGGGTTAGGGTTTTATTTTTCTTAATTCTATTTGGTTTTGGACTCTTAACCCTATTTTCCTACCTAAAAACAGATGACAATTTCTTAATTTCTGTGACCGTGCCCCGACATTATGTTGTCGCATGGTAGCTACTGGAAAAAGTGTGCCGCAGCATAGTAGCTACTGGCCAGAGTGTGCTGCGGCACAGTAATCTCTTCCTCTTCACGCATCATTCCACTGTTCTTTAGAGATGGTGATTTTTGAACTCGATAACGATGAAATTTGGAGAAGTGGTAAACATATAAAATGTAGCCCTTTGAATCAGCTTTCCAACAGTCAAATAATCGTCTTAATCCAAGTTCTACAGCTCAAGATATTCTCAAAAGACAAAGGCATGCTCAAGCTAGAACGTAATCTAGAATCTTCTCTTTACTTCAACTTCCATAACTTCTTCAATTCAACTCCGATTCTTGATCTATTTGTTTCCACTCATCACTCATTCTATTGCTGACATGATTCTTCATCCGAGCATAATATTTAAGCACTAGTAGCCTGAAAAACATTCAAAAACACTTGTGATCCCATAAAAGACAATTATAAAAATATTAAGCAACTTTACCAAATTAAGCCTAATTTCCCACAATTAATCACCTAAACCACTAACTAAATGTGTATTTTCAAGCTCTTATCATCGTATGCTGTTTTGACAACTGTCGACTACTGTCCAACAGTGGTGGTTGGTGGTCGGCTGTCCTCTTGGGTGGCTAAGGTGCTTTTGTTAATTTTTAAATTTTTATTGCATGGGTGTTTAGTTAAATTAACAAATGTAGGGGGTTGAAAAATAGTAATAAATATTTTCAAAAAAAGTACCAAGCAATTATTCTGTCTTAAAAACTTTTTTTTTTTTAAATGTACCAAACAACTATTCTAGTATTTTATCAATCTTAGATATAATTTTTATTTATTTCACCAAACACATTTTTCAAAATCTGATCCTATTCGATTTAATTCAACTCAACTCAACTTAAAACACTTTTTCATAATAACATTGTTCAAATAATTTACCGAACAACCCGCAATCTTTTTATTTTTTTCTTCTTGTGTTTATCTTTTCGGACTATGGGAGAACAACCAATTATTCCGGTTCAACAATGATGAAAAGTATTATTAAAAAAAAAAAAAGTACGCGTTTTGAAGGTAATATTTATAGAACAAGAAAAAGACCCTTTTCTCTTATCTTTTTCAGATTCCTTTCTTAGTTTTTAAGAACAACAATGCTACAGACATCGATGTTTTTATACCAAAATTTTGTACCGGCTTACGTGTCTGTTGACTCAGACCATTTAACGCGTTTTACGTTAATAATTTTTTTTTAATAAACGGTCGTTCATAACATATGGACGGGAGTCCATTTACCACGGACGGGCGTCCTCATTTAAAGGACGTCCTTCCATTGGTAAATATAATAAAAAATATTTAAAAAATTAGGGACAGCCGTCCCTTAAGTATGGACGACCGTCCATGAGGAATAGACGCCCGTCCATACTATTCTTTTTTTCTTTTTTTTTCTTCGAAAAACTAGTAGGGAAGTATGAAGATTGCGTGGAAACTTTTCCAACCAAGGATCCTGCTATAGCATTCTCCAGTCAAGTCTTGAACAAGAGAAGATTCAAAGACTTCAATGGAGAAAACAGCTCCAGAAATGGCTCCAACTGCAGCCCCTCGAACAAATCCACTCTCTGTTTCTTGCCCTATTAAAGCTCCAGTCATGGCTCCCAACAAAGTGCCCACTATATAACACAAAATGTCAAATTCAAATCAAACAAATAAGATCACCCACAATTCTGGAGACAGAACGTTCCAAAGAAAACTTCCTTTATATGCAAAAATCATTAGCATAATTAGAAAAATGACATGCTAGTACATCATTGTCTCCATATAAATCTATAATAACCTTTTTCGCTTCGTGAAGAGCTTGAGCATAGTTTACGAAGCGAAAGGGAATGAGGGAATGAAGGCCGAAGGGAAGAGGTCTGTAAGCCGACACTGAGGTAGAGACATACGCAGGTGCAGGTAGATGTTTCCATACCCTTTTCAACAATCCAAGGAAAGTGATGCTGATGTATCTGTAGCTGCTGAGGTATTGGAATTTTTCCATCCATCCTTAACCCCCCTGTAATAGAAGGAATTCTTGGCCTTCTTTTCGGTGCGGCATCTTCGATGAGGTTTTTGTAGGTTGAGTAGAAGCTATTCGATCATGAAAGAGGGAGGGGCTTGCTAAGTGAAGTCAACAAAAAAAATAAGAAAATAAGAACCTTTCCTTTGAAAGATCCAAACGAGCTATTGATTACTCTACTATGTCCTTGGTTACAAAAGTGCAGAAATCTTTGACTCTTTCAAAGAAATTCCCAAACAAAGACAAAGATGACATATAGAAACGTGATGGGTATGCAGAAATCTTTTGGATGGGCGTCCATTGTTTTTTTTTTTTTTTAAACAACACAACTTTGGACGGTCGTCCATAATACTATGAACGACTGTCCGGGATGTATGGACGGCCGTCCATTTATGTCAGTATTCAATCGTCCAACGTAGTTGCCTCCACTTGTTTCGGTGCAATTTTTCGGTGTAACTTTTCGGTGGATATAGCATTTTTGTTTTAAGAAATATTCATTGACTGCATAAACCCAAAACTGTGATAGACCCCTACTCATCTGTATATAAAACAATTATTTTTTTTTCAGGTAATTATCAAAATATGACCAATGAAGACACTGTCATCTTCCCCATCTCCAAAGTAATCCTACAAGTTAATTTGTTATTGAGGTTCTGTATCTATGATCAAGATTGGAAGAGAGGCCAGATTGAAAAGTCTGAATGTGAAGTTATAAATTGCTTTTGAACTCGTCCATATATACAAACTTATACTTCTAGGATTACTTTAAGCTAGCATCGTTCAAGGAATGTTATATTAAATGTGTTTGGTTAGATTGGTATAATTAATATATTTGGTTGAGAGGAATAAAATATTATCAAGAGAGACTTTTACAGAATGCCCTTCCTTTTCAATAATAAAATTAATATTAATATTATTATTATCTAGAGTATTACTTTTAATACCCTATATTTGAGAATTTAGTTAAAACATCACAGCTACAACAAAATTTTAAAATTTAACAAAATATCCCCAACCATCAAAGACGTCTGTCGGCCATCGACCACCACCGTTAACCACTATCGATAATTATCGGAACAACGCATGATCGATCAGATCTGGTCGGCCATTTGCTGATCTGACTGTTTATTTCTGGCCAGCCATGGATCTGGCTAGAAATAAACAGTCATGGATCTAGTCGTCATTTCTAGCCAGATCCATGGATCTAGCTATTTTTGGCCATGAATCTGGCGGAAAACGACCAGATCAGTGCACGATTGCCAATGGCGGCCAATAGTGGTGGTCAGTGGCCGATAGTTGTCTTCAGTGGCTGACTTATTTTAAGTGGTATTCATGTAAATAATTATGGGCATTTTTGTAAAAAAAAAAAAA